CTACGTCAACTCGTAATCAACTCGATCATTGTGAACTATCGATAAGATATCGAAGAAGTTCCAGAGTAGAAAGAATACTTTATATTGCTTGTAAGTTTGTTAAATATTTGTTTATAAATTATTTGTTTGTAATAACTATTTGTAATAACTGTTATTGTAAATTGCATTGTTGTGTGTACATTAAAATGTGTTTGTGTTTTAGAAAAAGAGAACTGTGTGTGTCAATCTTGTTGACAAATATCATAAACTGACTATATATCGGCTTTTACTTAACTACTACATCCAAAGTACAATTTAACTCAGTTTAGGCTATTAGATATTGTAGTACGTAACAGGGGTTTATTATGTTTAATTACAATAAGGAAGAAGAAAATAGGTTCTTTAAAGCACTGTGCTAATTTACCTGGACATTAGAGCTGAAAATAATTTACAAAGGAAAAATATAATTACAATGGACCTATGTACATCCGGTGGTTATCAAGCCGAACTAAAGTTTAAAAAAAATATTATAATGGGATGTATGCTCGGAAGTTTGAAAAATTCTGTTTAAATATTTTGAAAAAAAAAGTTGAATTATATTTTATGGAAACTATCAGGTTATACGTTTTCATTGTGATAATTAATTAATTCTTAGATATTTTTCATTGTGCAAATGTTTTTACCCGTAGGACCAACAATATAACTTATTAATACCCAGCTATAACTAATTTTTATCTTTAACATACATTCTGTTATTCTTTATTTTATTTGTCCAAATATACTTTATCTAGAAAATATATACTATTATCCATTACATTTACATTTTTGGTGGTGCAAATAACATTTATCTAATTCTTAAATGATGTTAATATTTACTGATTAAAATAGCGTTTTACTGCCACGCATATGACGTTAGTACCTACCCTAATAGTGCAATTAATATTTATCTACCACCTATAAGATTCAATCATTTAATAGTTTTTGCAATTTATTCAAAACATTTCTTTATCCGGGCAGGGATAATTATAATCATGCTGATTACGATCACTTGTATTTCGTATACCAGATTTTTGCTTTTGTTTTGCATGGCGGTAACAATAAATTAAAAACAACAGCACGGTATCGAAGTCGTACCTTATCCAAACAGGACATTGCTGACCAGAGATCTCTTCTTCTTGAGGCGCAAAGGATTCCCAATGTCGATACATTCATCCATTTAGATAGACTCTTGATATAAGTCAACCTCTGTCTTCCACGGTCTTTCCTTTCTTCAATCTTTCCAGTTACCATCAGACTTTCAATTTATTTTTTCCTGATAACGTGTTCTAGAAACGGTATCACGATATTTTATTGCCGCCATTTTACTGTCAATCATTTGACTACAGAAATATGACTGTCACGAGATTTTACTGACGGAAAATAATTATGTTTTCCAAACAAAACATTTCCTGGCACAGTGAAAGAGCTTATTCACAAAAATTGCAATGAACTAATAAAGTATCGCACTAAAATTGAATAAAAATAAAATTGAACAATAAAATAATTGAATAAATTGCCGAAAAAAACAGAATAATAAAATAATTGAATAATTTGCTGGAAAAGAAATATATAGCAAATATGTACATCATTATTTATGTTTAAACGGGTACAAATTATATGACGTAATTTTTCCGTTAAAAGTTTTTTTGACATGGTAATGGTTGCTTTTATAATATTACGATAATATAATTTCTATACATGGAAAAACATTAAAATGAAATAATTAATTGCTGCATCCCTTTGCCGGCAGTAAAACGGTAGTCATTTACTGCAGGAGTAAAATGTTGCGGCAGTAAAATGACGGCAGTAGAATGTCGTAG